AATATATATTAAAAATATATATCTTGGTGTGCTGCAGAATTTTAGTAATTAGTTTATGTGTGCCATAATATGAAAAAGGCTGAAAATCGCTGGCTTAGCACAATGTTGGATAGAACATTACTGACCAAATAACATGGATATCACATCTCTAGAGAGAAAAAACATAGTAATTTAATTCCCAATGTATTCCTTAGATTTAAAAAAAACTTTTTTTTCCTTAATTTTTAGAGAGAGAGGAATGGAGAGGGAGATAGAAACATCAATAAGAGAGAACATCAACTAGTTGCCTCCTGCATGCCCCCCAGTGGGGATCAGGCCCACAACCTGGGCATGTGTCCTGACCGGAAATCAAACTGGTGACCTTGTGGTGCATGGGTGGACCCTCAACCACTAAGCCATACTGGCCGGGCCTTAGATTTTTTTTTTTTTAAGTAAACATAGAAATCTGTACTGACTTTTCATTTAGCTGTTCTGGTTTTATTTTATATTTATTTACTTATTTATTTATTAATCCTCACCCGAGGATACTTTTCCATTTTTAGACAGAGTGGGAGGGAGAGAGAGAGAGAAACATCTATGTGAGAGACACACATCCATCGGCTGCCTCCCACACGACCCTGACCAGGGCCTGGGACTGAACCGCAACTGAGGTAAGTGCCCTTGACCAGAATCGAACCCGCGATTCTTTGGTCCACAGTTCCAATGTTCTAACTGCTGAGCCAAACCCACCGAGGCAGCTGTTCTGGTTTTAAAGGATGAACTGACTATAGGCTATGTATTTTCTGTACTGATGTGGTACTTATTAAATCCTTTCGTACTGAGCAAAAAAAATTTTTAAAGATATGGTTACACGCAGCTAAAATTGCTTTGGAAGTGAGAATATAAAAAGTTGATTCCACTGGAGAGAGGTAATGCCCAGAGTAGGATGGTTTCTGAGAAAATGTCTCAAAAATGAAGAAAATTGTATGCAACAATATCTGTTTCCAACACTGTGTCTCAGACCATGTTTATTCCACAAGGTTAAAGAAATGAGGAACAGGAACTGATGGAATAGATCCAAGTGACCAAATGGCCCAGAGTCAAGGAGAGGGCACAAAACCTGCTGCCTATCTGCTACTCGAAGACTTGGCAGCTTCTGTGCACACTATTTTTTCTTTTCATTAAAATACAACTCATCTGTATATTTAACCATCTAGATAGTTCTAAAAATAGCTGATCAATTAATTCTCTTAAGATTGGTAGTCACATTTTCTATAAGTAATTTTGCCTCCTAATACTTTCATGCTTGTTTTAAAGTTGTAATGATGTAAAAAGGTGTAGAAGTTTTTGAGAGGTTATGAGAGATCGCTAGGGTCCAGGACCTCAGGGTCCCGGCACTGAAATAATTTGTTTTAGGGGAAAGTAAAAAAAAAAAAAAAAAAAAAAATCAATGTCTACGCTGTCTAATACAGTAGCTACAGATAGCTCATGCAAAATGAGGTGTGTTATAGTATGTGTGAAATACACACTTTCAGACTTAGTATGAAAAATATCTCTTTTAACACAGTATTACTTGTTGAAATGATATTTTTGATAGATTGGGTTAAATAAAATAGGTATTCAAATTTTAAAAAAAGAAAAAAGCTATGGGAAATATCTGATGAGAATACAGAGGCAAAGTAAAACAGATAAAGAAGCATGCAACATAAAATGATTCCAGGAGTTCCAATCTAAAGTAGACTGTAGAGCCCTGGCTGGTTTGGCTCAGCGGTTAGAGCGTCAGCCTGCGGTCCAGAGAGACCTGGGTTCGGTTCCTGCTAAGGGCACGTACCTCTGTTGCAGTTTGTCCCCGGCCCTGGTTGGTAGTGTGGGTGGCAGCCACTCAATGTGTCCCTTTCACATTGATGTTTCTCTCTCTCTCTCTTCCTCTCTCCCCCTCCCACTCTACCTGAACAAAAAAATGGAAAAATGTCCTCGGGTGAGGATAAAAAATAAATTAAAAAAATAAAGTAGAGGTCTACATATCACACTTTAGGATTTCAAATACAAGTAAACTTTAGCCCTGGCCAGTGTGGCATAGTTGGTTGAGCATCGTCCCATGCACCAAAAGGTTGCCAGGTCAATTCCTGGTCAGAGCACATGCCCAGATTTTGGTTTTAATCCCTGGTTGGGGTGTGTACAGGAGGCAATTTGACTGATGTTTCTCTCTCTCTCTCTCTCCAAATCAATAAAAATATATATTTTTTAAAAAGAACAATGACAAGTACACTTTTAAAGCTTAGGGGACTGACATATTGCTGCTAACTTTTTACATTTCTTTTTTTTTTTTTTTTCTTTTTAATCCTCATCCGAGGACATTTTTCCATTTTTTGTACAGATAGAGTGAGAGGGAGAGAGAGGAAGAGAGAGAGAGGGAAACATCGATGTGAAAGGGACACATCGAGTGGCTGCCACCCGCACGACCAACCAGGGCCGGGGACAAACTGCAACCGAAGTACGTGCCCTTAGCGGGAACCGAACCCGGGTCTCTCAGGACCGCAGGTGGATGCTCTAACCGCTGAGCCAAACCAGCCAGGGCACTTTTTACATTTCTAATTTATGAACATTAAAACCAATTTATACTGAAATGAAGAAAATCTATAAAACACACTGAATGAATTATAAACTAAAATTATAATTAAATAATTTCAGGCAAACACTGGTCCCTAATTTAATGAGCAGTGAGTAGCAAACTATAACTTAAATTTAATCCTAAACCCAAGTTGAACAAGTTATTTGATAAAATTATCCTTTTATCCTTTTGAAAATACCAAACCCACTTATCATTTGAATTTTTAAAGTATTGTAATAATTTGGATTCTCTAAGGTTTTCAGATTAGAAGCACACAGATACAAAAAATAATTAAGATCATTCTAAATCTTACAGATAGTAGTCCTGAAAAATGACATTATATTGAACATTTGTCTAAAAATGTGCCAATTAATTATAAAACTGAGATAAAGGTGCTTTCCTGTCAGGAAGGGATTTCAACACTGCTAGTTGTGTCACTCAATGCATAAGTAAGGTTTCATACATTTAGCAGAAACACTAAATTAAGAGATCAGATGGCCTGGGTTCTAGTGCCAGTTTTATTTATAACTAACCATGTACAAATCACTATCTTTAAAATAATGATTAACATCTCTTCCTTAATTCACAAATATATCACAAAACCAAATCCTTCCCAAGAAAACCTCTTTGTAAACCAAGATATTACTACTAATTAGCTTATACTTAAAGGTTGAGAATAATAACTTAGAGAATTTGTCTTTTATCAATCGGTTGTATACCTTAATTCTGCAGATGGATAATATAGTTGAGATAAGCACTGTCCTATTTCAACCTTACAAAACAAAAAGCTATCAACAAGAAGGGGAGAAAAAGTTGGCCCAAAAAATAACACTATAGAGAAGTTGCTTTCTATGTTAAAAGCAGTACTTATCCCATCCCTATTATCAATGGAACGAAAGTTAGCCTTGGACCACTAAAGCATGTTTGCTTTATTTCACTAGAAATAATATTAAGCAGGAATGTCTGTGGACTCTTCAAATGGCCAATCAAAACGGCTAGGAAAACAACATCATGTGTTGTTTTGTTTTAATTCTTTTCTCTCTCCCTCTCTTTTTTAAATTGAAAATTCAATTCCCCAACCCAGAGCACACCCCTCAGTACTCTGCCAGGGTATAAGAAATGTTATCTTTTGGTCACTAGAGAATTAACAGAGAAAAGGAATTAGATGTTATTGGACAAAGATTCAAGATAATTCTAAGTGGATATAAAAAAATTTATAGACCATAAGCATCTCTATATGTACACCATTTATCATGTATAGGTATTATGAAAACTGTATGTATTTACAGATCATCTTAAAAGGTGAGCACCTATATGTTCTTATATTTAAAAATGTGAATTTTGTGCAATTTAGTTTCTATTTCTGGACTTTCCCTTACATCATGGTGATACAAAAAAATAAATAAATAAAAATAAAACCAAAGACTAGAGTGTTGGTTCACAGAGAAATACAGAACAGACATAAATACCCTAATAAAATAACCATGTATATCACTGCTTAGGGAAATATTTTAGAGGAAATATGCTTTCACTATTGATCCCAAATGCTATCATCCATTTAATGTTCTTTAACTGTCAACTTTTCATACAAAAATACCTTCAAGCTGATCATCATTTATAGTAACTTACAAAACTGACAGAATATTTCAACGCTACACAAAACAGTTCTAAACACAGCTTACAGTTCTAAAGTTCTCTGCTGGCCCTTGATTTTATAGTTGATGGACACAGTAGCTACTGATCTCAATAAATACTGTTTTTAGCTTATACATATTTTCAAAATCAGTATTACCTCACAAAACAGTAAAGAATAAATCACTTCCTGCCAAAGAATCCTCTAAAACAAACACCAAAAGTATACAGCTAAAATATTTTAGGAGAGAGCATATAAACTTGTTAAGACAAGGCATGACCAATGGATAAAATTTACATTACCCAATGATTTGTCCAGTGAAAAGGATTGTTTTTCTGATTCAATGAAGCATATATCAGGTTATATATGAAAAATATGAACTTACAAATCACCTATTTTTTTGTTTTTGGTTTAGAAGGGTGTTTAAATAGTTGGTGACACTACTAGAATGAATGTCTTTTAAGATAGAAAAATGGTCACATTTAGCAAAAATACATTTTCCATTTCAAAATTAGAAGCTAAATTTCTTTTAAAACCATGAAATCCTTTTTTTAAAAAAAACTTTCTGTGAGCTCCTCCATTCTGCACTCTATCAAAATGAAACCACTATTTAATAAAACTTTTATGTTCATTTTTTTCCTTTGCAAAATAGAAGAAAACCAAACCAAATTTTAATGAACTATATTAACTTATAATACAAAAGACTACTTTAAATTTTGGTAAATCTATTACTTTCATTATTCTGAAGGAAAAATATAAACCTTCAAAACCCTATCAACAGTTTCTAGTCCAGTTTTCTATTCTAAAAGTGAAAAAGTTAAATTCCTTGCAGCAGGCACTAAATAGAATTAAAAAGTTAACAGAAAGCTATATTAGATAACCAAAATATAAACAGTGCAACTAATTAATACAATCCACTGGCGCAATGAATACTCAAACAATGAAAAAAACCACCAAGCACTCTAACGAATTATATAGTTCGTTTTTTGCATATTTTAATCTTGACGTTTAACATAGTAAATTCTAATATAGGTTGATTTTGTGGACTTTTTAAATTCTGTAACATTAGTAATTCAAACATTAGCCTTTCTAAACCAAATCTGCAGTCTTAATCAATTTTTTGTTTTCAGGAAAAGAATATTTTTAAAAGATACATTACATAGCAGTAGAAACATCTTAGTGTTTCAAAATATTTACAAAGAACCCTGCTGATCCTGTGCATTTCGCTGAGGTGAAACCTGCACCCAGACTTCATCATCAGAAAAAGAACTTGAACTTCCTGACTCAGAGTCCAGCTCACTGAATCCGTCTAAGTCCCAATCATTACTAGACTCACTCCGTGCATCATCTTCCTCAGTGATGAAACTCTGACCAGGTTCAAGGCAAGAAGGATAAACACGAGCACAAAGACAAATAAAGCCAGAGTCAAACTGCAAAAGACCTAACATGGTACCTATATTAATCCACTGGTCTTCCCTAGTATCATATTCATACACAGTCACCCGGTTTTTTTTCCACTGTGGCGTGGTAGAAGTGATGAGTAGCAACTTTTGGCCATGACTGACAATCTGATAATTGTGGATCTCTGAGAACAAAGGAATATTACTAATCCTCCGCCATTCTCCCCTGGCTGGGTTATAGACCTTCATGACTGGGATGTCACAGATACAATAGATCTCATCATTGAATACACAGGCTTCCTGAAAGTCACTACGTTTAAGAGAAGCACAGTTCAACCACATATTGTGGCTAGGATCATAGCAGAGCATGCGCTTACTGTTCACAGCATAAAGGTAGTTCTGAACCACTATTAGTTCAAAGGAATAGAAGGAATGGGGTACAGGAGCCACCAGTGCCCACTGGTTCCTCTGAACACTGTAACATTCCACTTCCTTCAATTTAATTCCAGTAATAGGGTCTCGCCCACCCAAGATATAAATGTAGCCATTGAGGTAGGCCACATCCATGCCCTCACGACAGAGCAAGCGATCTGCAAGTTGCTGCCAAGTATTCTGGGCTGGTTTATACACCCAGAGATGTTTCCTGGGCTGGGCAGCCAGATAGATGTCATGATCTGGAGAGACACACACAGCTGAGGAGGTGATAGTTTTAGTGTGAGCCAAGCTGGCCAAAGGTGATGGCATTGTGTAAATGTCCCCCGAGTACGGATCATAGCAGAGAAAGGGATCTCTGGGATGTCCAAAGAAGATCACCATCTCCTTGGCACACATACCTAGCCTCTGGGGTGGATTTTCTGCTGCGGATACAACAGAGCTACTACTGCTGTCTGGCTCTGGCACCACAGACTTGTACAACATGTCACCAAATCGCATCTGCAGAGCCCCTTCAATAAGGTCGAGACAGTACTTCTTCACAATGGGCTTGGTCAACAGCCCTTCTAGGTAATCCTGATCTTCATCAGTGAAATGTGTCCAGCGGACACACTTGAAGACTTCTGCAGCACTGGGACCCCGCTCCTTGGGGGCCGCCTCCAACCACTGCATGGCAACGTGACACACTGTCCTCTCACTCTCAATGTCTAGACTATCCAGACGCAGGACGGCCAGCAGCTGGGCCAGGGTCAGATCTGCCAGAGTCTCCTCCTGTACTGAACCCATGCGGCTGAGCTGTTTGAAGTTGTGGGCTATGAAGGACTGGGCCTGTGATCGCAGCTTGTGATGGTCGAAGGCATCAGCAAACTTGAGGATGGCGGTGCAGTTAGCCAGGTCAAGGCGGCGGGCTAGGAAGGAGGCACAGGCTTCCCGCACGTACTCCAGCTGCAGCATGTCGGAGGCGGCGTAAAGGCGCTGCACGTTGGCCTCACTTAGCGACACGCGACCCGTGTAGCAGTATTCGACCAACACCTCAAAGGACTCGGCATCCACATCATGCATGGTCACATTCGCCTGCTGGCTCTCGTACATGCCGCCGGTGAACATGCTCTTGAAGTAGGGACATGCGGCAGCCAGCACGTTACGGTTGCAGGAAAAAAGGCGGCCTGTGCCAGGCCCACTGCCAGGCGTCACCACCTCGATGGTCACATCACATAGCAGCCGAGAGTCGTAGAAGGACTTGAGCTGTGCCAGCAGCGCTGCAGAATGGGCCGTGTCCTTCAGCTCCTCCGGGCCCGTGAAAAAAGCCGAAACGGAGGGTTTGGAAATCCTCTTAGGCCTCCTCCCATCGCGGGGACTGGCGAGGCGGCGAGAGCGCGGCGCATCTTCCCGGGACTGCATGGTGGGGCCGGTGGCGGGTGCTGAGGGCGAGAACAGGTGCTAGGGCCGGGCTCTGGCTTCTCCTCTGTGCCCTGCTATCGCTGTCGCAACGATAACGGAGTCCCTGAGTGCGCGCCCGGCCGGGGCCGCCCGACTCCGCGCAGCCCGACGAGAGGGCGAGGGCGACGGCGCCGCCTCCCTTTATCGCGCAGGGAGTGCCTGACTCACCCGGTCCAGCTCCACGCCCTTCGCCGTCTGGCTCGCCCTCGCTGAACCCGCTGGCGGAACCGAGAGAGCCGCAGCCGCCGCGCTGGCAACACCGGCAGACGCCCGGAACTGCGACTCCCAGCGGTCCTTTCGGCCTGGAGCACGCCGGCCCTCCAGACCCACAGGCATAGGCGGACGTCGCGGCCGCTTTGCATGCTGGGAATAGTAGTTTGGGCCGTATCGCGAGGTTTCTGGGGTCAGCCTGCTTTGGCTAATTAGAAAAGCGTTAATTCTGCTGGATAGGGTGGTTTGAAGTGTTGGCTTAGAAACCGAGAATAGAAGCCCCATTTTAGGATGCATTATGTGATTTCTCTCAGAGAACTTTCACCTCTTTGTGAAACAGGGATAACATTCATAGGAGTGTGTTTGCGTGGAATGAGATAAATCCCATAGGATATAAGAAGCTTCAATAAATGTTTGTTGATTAGAACAGTTAAGTGCTTCCACCGTGACCAGGGTATAAAGATTTAAACATTGTTAGCTTTCCTTTTAGAATTTATGAAAAATGAGAAATCCCCTAATTTGAAAACGAGCAATTTTGAAAAGGAAACTTTTCATGTTGCTACTTTTGAAAGGTTGTGAAGGCTATTACAATATTTTCAATACTACACGATATGCATAGGTTCATTAAGATGTCTCAGACAAAAATGAGGTCCTAGAGAACAGCATTTATAGATGTTCTCAAATATGCAAATTCAGAATATAAATAGATGGGCCAGTATCTCACCAAATGAACACATCATCTCCTAGGGAGCAACATTATTTTCATAGCGTCTTAATATGAGTGTTTTCAAGTTGTCTAATACGAATTCCTTTCGTTCCTACAAATCAGCTGAAGATGCTGGAATTGTTTTTTATTAAGAAGTTTTAACAAGAGTTGTAAATCAGAATATTTTAACAAACAGACCTTGTATTGTACAAGAGCATACGACCTTAAGTTTATATAGAGTTGATGCTTTACAAAGTATATATATGAATTTTCCAAATCAAATGCTTAGAGGTTTTTTTTCAGTTAGGGAATTTTTATTTAAAAACCAGACTGCTCGCCCTGGCCAGTCTGGCTCAGCGGTTAGAGCATCTGCCTGCGGTCCAGAGAGACCCGGGTTCAGTTCCCGATAAGGGCACGCACCTCGGTTGCAGTTTTCCCCCGGCCCTGGTTGGTCGTGTGGGTGGCAGCCACTCGATGTGTCCCTTTCATATCGATGTTTCTCTCTCTCTCTCTTCCTCTCTCTCCCTCCCGCTCTATCTGAACAAAAAGTGGAAAAATGTCCTCGGGTGAGGATAAAAAAAAAAAACCAGACTGCTCCTGCTGCTAATTTGCCATGTGTTACCTTACCTGATGGAATCTTTGGTATTACACGAATAGGGGGATGACTCATAACAGGAGAGTAATTCTCTAATTGTTTTTCTCTCTTCTCCCATTAGCTGAAGTGGGGTATTTTCGGTAGATACCCCAGGAAAGAGACATTAAACTAAGTGGATCTCTGGGTTCCAATACCTCCTCTGTATCTCGGTTGAGTATCCTGATACATCAGATTAAGTCATTGGTAACACTGATTGCTTTCTCATCTGCACTAAACACCAGTTGGGGAAAGGAAGGGAGGGAGAAGGAGAGGGAGAGAGAAAGAGAAACATGGCCATGTCAGAGTCACATCAATTGGTGGCCTCCTGCATGACCCCAACCAGGGCCAGGGCTGGGGATCAAATCTATAACTCAGGTACATGCCCTTGACCAGGAATCTAACTTGAAACCCTTCTGTCCAAGGGCTGTTGCTCTACAGCTGAGCCAGGGCCCTACCCCATCCTTTTCCCCAGATACCATACCTTTGCCTTTGCCTTTCCCTCTCTCTCCTCAGCTCCAGAGCTCTTCTTTTGGTTAACTTGTTTCCTGAGCTTATGCAGCCCAGCTGGCTGACTTCTACTACCTTTCTAGTACCTCGTATAAATTCAGTGATTTTTAACTTCCAGAATCTAAACTGTTTAGTAGGCTCTTTGCTATCACAAAACTTTCTATGATGGGCGAATATTTTATGTCTACCCTGACTGATTCGGTAGCTAGAAGCACTTGGAATGTGGCTAGTGCAACTGAGTTTTAAATTTTAGAAACACAACATTGCTATCAATGCAATTCAGTGATGAAAAAATTCTTCTGGGTGTTTATTTTTGCTAATCCTTACCTGAGGATATTTTTCCATTGACTTGTGGAAGGGGGAGGGGAGGGGAGAGAGACATCCATGTGAGAGACACACATCCTGGGATCGTACCTACAACCCAAGAAAAGTCTTTTAAACAAATATTGTTGTAACAACTGCATCACAATTGAAAAAAATATTATCTGAACCCCTACCTTATACCATAAACAAAAAGTAACTTGAAATAGATTTTAATAATACAAAGAGTGAAAACTGGCCCTTGGTGGGTCTGCCCAGGGCCAGCCAGTCTTGTGTGGGTTCTTGATTTCATGCAGAAAATTTTTCACAATGTGAGTCCAGGTGAATTTTAGAGGATATTTATTAAAGCTGGGGACAGTGAAACAAGAAAGGGCTGGGGGAAAAGAGTCTAGGCTGGTCTGCTTTGGCTCACTAAGAAGTCAGAGAAAAGGGGGCCTTGGGGACAGGTTCGGGGGTCTGCCTGGGATGAACTGCCACTTGCCCACTCTGACCTAGTTGCAAGCCTCCTAGGGCCCCTGTTTAGGAGACGCATTGGGTGTGGGGAAAGAAGGGTGGGGAGGCAGGGGTGTGCTCCTGGGAGGCAGAGGAGTTTTAATGGCCATTTAGGAGAGGTTTTAGGATTAACAGAATATTCATCAACTTTATGCTGATGTACCAAAATGAGATTGTCTTAATTTGTCCTTGGGTGTGGTAGCACTAATTAGATTTCTGCTATCTGTCTCCTGAGTAGAGTGATTTAAGCTCTTTACCCTCTGGTTGGGGAGGAGAAGTACAAATCATTCATTCTTAAGTGCCTTGGATTTAGGGAAGACAGGATTTACTAAATGGCTTCAAACTGCTCGGCATCTAGATTTTCTAGATGGCTGTAAAGTGCTGTTTAATTGTCTCAGTTTTCCTATGCTACTTGTCCTGGGTTATTATGTGTGGGTTTTGACATTGTGCTGGGGAAATTTTACAATGTGAGTCCAGGTGAATTTTAGAGGATGTTTATTAAAGCTGGGGACAGCCTGTCTCACTTCTAAAAGAAAACATAGAAGACTAGCTCTGTGACTTTGAGGTAGGCAAAGATTACTTTCGACACAAAAAATGCTAATGTTAAAAAAAATTGATAAAAAGAACAATCTTTGCCCATTAAAAAAGCAGTGAAAACAGAATTAAAAGACAAACCATAGACTGGCAAAAATATTCGTAATACATATAGGCAACAGCCAAAAAACATACGAAAACCTTCTCAAGCCTGGCCAGTGTGGCTCAGTGGTTGAGTATCAACCCATGTACCAAGTCACCAGTTCAATTCCTGGTCAGGTCACATGCCCAGGTTATGGGCCCAATCCCCAGTGGCCCCGTGCAGGAGGCGGCCAATTGATGTTCTCTCTCATGGATGTTCCCAGCTCTCCCTCTCCCTTCCTCTCTAAAATAATCAATAAAGAAAAAAAGAAAACCTGCTCAATATCATTCATCACCAGATGAATATAAATTTTTTTCTTTATTGATTTTAGAGAGGGAGAGGGAGAGACAGAAACATTGATGAGAACATCGATTGGCCGCCTCCTGCATGCCCCCCAACTCAAGATTGGGCTCACACCCTGGGCATGTGCCCAGACTAGGAATCGAACTAGTGACCTTTCGGTGCATGGGTCAACATGGGTTAACCACTGAGCCACACCAGCCGGGCTCACCAGATGAATATAAATTCAGTTCATAACAAAACACTGCTCACCACTAGAATGGCTAAACTTAGAAATCAATACCAAATGTTTGTGATGCTAGGGAGCCATTGGAACGTTCATATATTAATAAAAGGAATGTAAATTGGTATGTCCCTTTCAAAAACTGTTTAGTAGTTTCTTTTAATGTTAAATACCCAACATTTTCACTCCTAGGCATTTGTCCAAGGGAAATTAAAACATATGTCCACAGAAAGACTTGTACAAGAATGTTGCTAGTAGCTTTTATCCAGAATAGCCCCAAACTGGAAACAATCTGTATGTACATCAATAGAAGAATGAAAACAATTAGTTGTGGTATATTCATACCATGTAATATTACTCAGAAATAAAAAAGAATCTTTTTTAAAAAAATGTTTTTATTGATTTTTTTTTTTTTTTTTTTTTTAGGAGAGAAACATCGACTGGCTGCCTCTTGCACGCTCCCTACTGGGAATTGAGCCAAAACCCAGGAATGTGTCCTGACGGGGAATCAAACCAGGACCTCTTAGTCCATGGGATGATGCTCAATCCACTGGGACACACTGGCTGGGCAAAAAGAAACAACCTTTGATATATGCAATAATGTCACTGAAATTCAAAATTTTTACGTTAAACAAAAGAAATCAGATATACAAAAGTACATACTGTCTGACCATCTTGTGAAGACTTAGAATAGTGAAAATAAGCTATGCTGAATAAAAATCATAATAGAGCCCTGGCTGGTTTGGCTCAGCAGTTAAGAGTGTTGGCCCCTTGCCCTGGCCGGTTTGGCTCAGCGGTTAGAGCATCGGCCTGCGGTCCGGAGAGACCTGGGTTTGGTTCCTGCTAAGGGCACGTACTTCGGTTGCAGTTTGTCCCGGGCCCTGGTTGGTTGTGTGGGTGGCAGCCACTTGATGTGTCTCTTTCACGTCGATGTTTCTCTCTCTCTCTCTCTCTTCCTCTCTCTCCCTCCCACTCTATCTGTGCAAAAAATGGAATAATGTCCTCGGGTGAGGATAAAAAAATAAAAAAAAAAGAGTGTCGGCCCACAGACCAGAGTCCTGGGTTTGGTTCCCACTAAAGGCACATACCTTGGTTGCAGTTTGTCCTCAACCCAGGTTGGGGTTGTGTGGGTGGCAGCCACTCGATGTGTCTCTCTCACGTCAATGTTTCTCTCTCTCTCCCTCCCACTCTATCTGAAGATAAATGCAAAAATGTCCTCTGGTGAGGATTTAAAAAAAAAATCATAATAGAGGGTGCCACTGTTGGGGGAGTGGGAGTAGGTGGACTTCTGGATTGACTGGAAAGAAACACAAGCAAACTTTCAGGGGTGATGGAAATGTTCTCTTCTAATCAGGGCTGATGGTTATGGGTATATGCAATCACCAAGTTCAATGAGCTGTCTCTGAAGATCTGTGCATTCAATTTACTGTAAATTATACCTCCTTTTAGGAGGGACCATTTCATAATTGCTGTCACTAAATAAAGCTGCAGAATTTGTTGCCAGGAAACTGTAAAGATAGTTCAGTCATAAACTAAGACTCATCTCAAGAAGACGTGAACAGGCAACAACACTCCAATTCTCAGTAGATGTGGCTGGTGCTCCATACACCTGGGATGGGTACCTCAGCACAATCTTTCAGCATACAATCTTTCAAATTTGTAGTTAGCTGAGTGCCCAACATTACATTCCAGTATTCTTTTATTTTTAAAACAACTTCATTAACAGCATACTACTTACCTGTGTGTCCTCAAGATTTCTTGTAATTTGCATAATCCTCTACAATGGAATCTACATCCCCCCCTTTGGTTTTATTTTATATATTTATTTATTTTAGTTTTTCTTTCTTTATCTTTTACCCCCCTTTGGAATCTACATTCTTCTTGGCAGAAAGATAAGAGCTGTTTTTACCTGGTAAGTAAGTCTCAGTCATCAATAACCATGATTTTAGTTCTTCAAGAATCTTTCCAACAACAGGGTCTACATGGGCCCGTTTCTTCTGAGGCGGCTGAGGTATCTCACTGGTACCCTCACCATTCCCATTTCTGGGTGACTCCAGCACTTTTTTCTTGTAGATCAGGTATTGTCTTTCTTAGGGCAGCCCCCTTATCTTCTCTGAATATTGCTTCTGAGTGACTTCTTGAAGTTCTGTTTGTGTAGATTGGTTTCCATGTGTCTGAGTACTCTGAAACCCATTCATCTCAGTTTTTATTCCAACCACTGCAATGTACAAAGTATTTCATGTGTTTGTCCTATAGAAACATTTTAGATTCTTTGCTTCTTTTTTGTTATTGTTGTTAATCCTCACCTGAGGATATTTTTCCATTGATTTTTAGATAGAGTGGAAGGGAAGGAGAGAGAGAGAGAAACATTGATGTGAGAGACACATATTGATTGGTTGCCTCCACCATGACCCTGACCAGGGCCAGGGATTTTTTTTTCTTTACTGATTTTAGAGAGAGGAAGGGAGAGGAAGAGATAGAAACATTGGTGAGAGAGAACATCGATTGGCTGCCTCCTGTATGCTCTCCACAAGCTGGGCATGTGTCCTGACCGGGAATCGAACTGGTGACCTCTTGGTGCATGGGTCTACACTCAACCACTGAGCCACACCAGCCGGACGCATGCCTGTTTTCTACTTGAACAGTTGGAGTGTACTTTACAGGAAACCTAAAATAAACTCTTAGGTCAAGAAATGTGACTTGCCCTGGCCGGTTTGGCTCAGCAGTTGGAGCGTCGGCCTGCGGTACAGAGAGACCCGGGTTCGGTTCCCGCTAAAGGCATGTGCTTCGGTTGCAGTTTGTCCCCGGCCCTGGTTGGTCGTGCGGGTGGCAGCCACTCGATGTGTCGTTTCATGTCGATGTTTCTCTCTCTCTCTCCCTCCTGCTCTGTCTGAACAAAAAATGGAAAAATGTCCTCGGGTGAGGATTAAAAAAAAAAAAAGAAATGTGACTTAATTCATTACAAAATACATTGGTAAGGCCCTGGCTGGGTGGCTCAGTTGGTTGAGCACTGGGACATACACTGAAAGGTTTCAGCTTCAATCCCTGGTCAGCACACATGCAGGAGACAACCGACTGATGTTCTCTCTCACTTCAATGTTTGTCTCTCTCGCTTTCCCCTCTTTCACTCTCTCTAAAATCAATAAAACATATCCTCAGGTGAGGATTAAAAACAAAACCATTTGTAAGTATTGTGTATATTTAGTTGTACTTTGTGAACATTCTCGAAGACTTCCACTGGCAAAGGTCCATTTCAGTTATGTAGTAATAAATAATAAATCAGCATTTTGTTGATTTAAAGTTTTCATCTAAAAATTCAATAATGGCTTCTTCATCTGCTGACTGAAGTAGTCTCTGAATTAGCTGATCCAGGCACTTCTCCCCACATAAAAATTTCTGGTGAAAGAGAGAGTCATTATGAAAATCTGATTACCAGAAGTAAGAAAGAAATGAAGCAAAGAATTAAATGTGTATTTATTTCATTTCTTTACAGTTATTGTTTAATAGCAACAAAGAATTACTAATCTAGAATATAATGAATACAACTGCTAACTTGGGAGGATGCTCATTGTTACTGACTCACATTCTTCACAACTTTTATTTATTTTTATTGAAAACTAGCAGTTTAAGCCCTAATGTAACATAGTTAACAATACTTTGTCTCTAAATGGGGTTTTAGAAAGAAGTTTATAAATCTTATATTACTAAATTATACCATGTTATAAAGTTCTGAATTAATAGATGAAAAATGTGTTTAAATTGATTTATAGATGGTTTTAAAAAGGGCCCTGGCTGGTTTGGCTCAATGGTTGGAGCATCGGCCTGTGGACCAGAGAGTCCCAGGTTCGGTTCCTGCTAGGGACACGTACCAAAAAAAAAGTATATAAAGAGAACAAGTGAATTGTCCTATACCACATAAATTCTGGTTAGTATGGCTTTTTATGTAAAAAATGAATGCAAAACAGTAAATGGAATTATATTCTATCTTAAATTGTTTAAATTAGCATTTTGTTTAAAAATCAATCTTGTAGGATTTGTCCCCGGCCCCAGTTGGGGTTGTGTGGGAGGCAGCCAGTCGATGTCTCTCTCTCACACCACTGTTTCTATCTCTTTATCTCCCTCTCTCCTTCCAGCTCTATCTAAAGATAAATGCAAAAATGTCCTCAGGTGAGGATTAAAAAAAAAAAAAGATTTACACCATTTTGACCCCACATCCACAACTATGCCAGGGAAGTGGGAGGAACAATACGGGTTTAAACAGAATGGGTCCACTTATATGCAGATATTTTTCAATAAAAATATTGGCAAATTCTTTGGAGATTTGCTACAATTTGAAAAAACTCACAGATGAACCTTATAATTTTCTTAATAGCATTTTCTTTTCTCTAGCTTACATTATTACAAGAACTTGGTATACATTACATATAATGTATTATGTGCTAATTGATTGTTTATGTTAATGGTAAGGCTTCCAGTCAACAGCAGGCTATTAGTAAAGCTTTGGGGAGTCCATGGATTTTTATTTTATTTTTTGTTTGTTTGTTTGTTTGTTTTGTTTTTAATCCTCACCCGAGGACATTTTTCCATTTTTTGTTCAGATAGAGTGGGAGGGAGAGAGAGAGAGAGAGAGAGAGAGAAACATCGACGTGAAAGGGACACATTGAGTGGTCGCCACCCGCACGACCCAACCAGGGCCAGGGACAAACTGCAACCGAGGTACATGCCTTTAGCGGGTACTGAACCCTGGTCTCTCTGGACTGCAGGCCGATGCTCTAACCGCTGAGCCAAACCGGCCAGGGCTATACATGGATTTTTAGACTGCACGAGGGGTCAGCATTCCTAACCCGTGTGTTTTTCAAATGTCAAGTGTACATTTAAAAAAATATTATTTTTCCTTTATTGATTTTATTGAGAGAGGAAGGGAGAGGGAAAGAGAGATAGAAACATCATTGAGAGAGAACATCTACTGGCCTCCTCCTGCATGCCCCCCACTGAGAATTGGGCCCACAACCTGGGCATGTGCCCTGACTGGGAATCGAACTGGCAACCTCTTGGTGCATGGGTTGACGTTCAACCAATGAGCCACACTGGCTGGGCTCAACTGTACATTTAAAGCCCAGGGCAAGGGGAAATTTCCAGTGTAGCCCTGTCCAGTTTGGCTCAGTGGTTAGAACGTCGGCTTGCAGTCTGGAGAGACCTGGGTTTGGTTCCCGCTAAGGGCATGTACCTCAGTTGCAGTTTGTCCCCGGCCCTGATTGGGTCGTGTGGGTGGCAACCACTCGATGTGTCCCTTTCACGTCGATGTCTCTCTCTCTCTCCCTCCCACTCTATCTGAACAAAATATCGAAAAATGTCCTCGGGTGAGGATAAAAAAAAAAAAAAGAAAAAAAAAGCCCAGGGCAAGGGGAAATTTCCAGTGTAAACTGAATATACAGCAGAAGATAGGCTGATGCTAAGAAATCTGCACAAGGACTTTGAGGAACAATAAAAATACAAAACAATATATTACATGGTAGTCTGTGCTCATAAATAAAAATAAAATACCTATAAGGGAATTCATAAGAATATTGGGTGACCTTATAGATCCCAAGGATAGAAATGTACAGGGCTGCTGCCACCACCCTGGCAATGAAGCTGGGCCTCAGAAATAAATGAGTATGGGAATTCTTGTCATGGGGATATTTTCCATCTAGTTCTCAATTTTGCTCCTTTCAATATGTCTGCTTCATTCTTCTCTCACTGAAGATTGCTTTCTCCCCACGACTGGAAATGTGGCTTCTAACCTCTTGTAAACTTTATGTATTTCAGCTTTAGCCACCAAGGAGGAGGATGACCCTCTTGTGTTTCCAGTTTAAAAATCCCGGAAAGAAACTCATTGCCTGAGACTTGTTCAGACTTCCTCCCCAAACAAATCAAGTACTGTCTTGGTTCAGGAACATGATCATGTAAGAACATAGCAGTTCCATCAGGAACTAAGTGGGGGTAGTGGGGACAAGGTCAGGGTCTAGGATAATAAGGAGAGCAGAGTCCCGTGGGTGTCCACTTTCCTCTCCACTCCTTCCCTTCTGTCTTCTGGCAGTTGCCCCGAGGTTAAGGTCCTTGTCACTTTTTTTGCCTCATCTACAACTATTCAGTTACTTAACTATTCAGTTCCTAAGCTAGTGTCTTTCCTGCATGCAGATTTTAGTATTTTACTACATTTTTTTAATGCCATTTTCACACTTTTTCCTTTCCCTAATATGGAATGCTTTCTCTTTTTCCAGTAAGTTGGTTAGTGATTATTAGAGTATACCAATATGATTTTCCTTATCATTTCTGAGTCTGACATGCTTATTTGGTTAGTAATAACATGTTACTGTTTAGGCCACAGTCAGATATTTTACAACTATAAAAGCCAGTAACCTGCTTCTGTTTCACGACTCTACCGAGCACCTATGTGCCCTTCTAAAAATATTACTGGTCATAAGAATGTCAATGTCTCATAGAAAATCATCACCACCACTAGAAAAATAACGGAAAGATTATGGTGTAATTAGAACAATATAGTCAAATGCGTTTGGTTATTACTGTGCGTTTCCTGAGGAAAGGGAAGTTAGCAAATATTTTCTCCTTTTCAACAAGGCAATTATGTTCCTATGCAAGACAGCCTTAAATTGCTGAGAAAACAGAGGAAATAGCATAAGATACCCAGAAATGTCTAAATACTAAAAAATATAGCCCCAGCTGGATAGCTCAGTTGGTTAGAGCATCGTCCCAATAGGCCAAGGTTGCAGGTTTGATCCCCGGTCAGGGTACATACAAGAACCAACCAACGAATGCATAAATAAGTGGAACAACAAATTGATGTCTCTCTCTCTCTCTCTCTCTCCCTTTCTCTCTCTCTAAAAATCAATTAATCAGTAAATAAGTAGACATTTCCTTTGTAAAATTAGGACTTTAATTTTGAGTACAAATTGGAACAGAATCAAGTGAAAGAAGCCCTAGGTATCACATGGCACCAAGGAAAAGGACAAAAACTTCTGTCTCTTGCTTTTTCCACATAGTCCTATAGGGGAACTAGTAGTTCACTTCTCCCATTAGTGGAAGCAAGAGAGAAATTTTTCTGTGCTTCGTCATTAATGTATTCATGTCAGTGGTCCTGGCTAGGTGGGATTTAGTTAGGTTGATGTTCAAACCAAACTGACAAGGTTTTTTCCCCAACAGTATAATTGTAACACCTCATTCTAACAAATACACATTGTGGTCTGCATATATGTAAGATGCCCTCTAGTGTACACACCTTGCATAATTCCCTAAGGGGCAGGGATAAACTGTGAATGTGACAGAATACCATTCCAGAGATTAGACTAACTTTCAGTTAAAAAGGAATATTATGCCCTGGCCGGTTTGGCTCAGGTTGGAGCGTCAGCCTGCGGACCAGAGAGTCCCAGGTTTGGTTCCCGCTAGGGGAATGTACCAAAAAAAAAGAGTATTATCCCTGGCCGGTCAGAGCGTCGGCCTGTGGACCAGAGAGTCCTCGGTTCGGTTCTCGATAAGGGCATGTACCTCGGTTGCAGTTTGTCCCCAGCCCTAGTTGGGGTTGTATGGGTGGCAACCAGTTGATGTGTCTCTCTCACATCGATGTTTCTCTCTCTCTTTTAATCCCTCTCTCCCTCCCGCTCTATCTGAAGATAAAATGCAAAAAATGTCCTCGGGTGAGAAATAAATAAATAAATAAATTAATTAATTTAAAAAAGGGAGTATTATCCAGCCCGGCTGGTGTTGCTCAGTGGTTGAGCATGGATCCATGCAGCCAATCAATGTTCTCTCTCATAGATGTTTTTCTCTCTCTCTCTCTCTAAAATCAATAAAGAAAAATTATTTTTAAAAAAGGAGTATTATCCAGGTGGGCCTGACCTAAACATGGGAGCCCTTAAACAGGCCTGAGCCATTTCACCAAGAGATTCAAAGTGGGAGAGGGGGCCTTGTAGCACGAAACTGTGGGTCTTTAGGAGCTGAGAGCAGCATCATCCAGCTTTGGCCAACAAGAAAATGGGGGCCTCTCTCCTACAACTCAAGGAAATTAAATTCTGCCAACAACCACATGAGCCTGGAAGAGGTCTCTAAGCTCTAGAAAGGCATACAGCTTGGCCAACATCTTGATTTCAGCCTTGTGAGATGTGGAGCAGTGAACTCAGCTCTGTTGTGCCCAGATCTCTGACCTACCACTAAGTTCGTGGTGATCTGTTACGCAGCAATAGAAAACTGATACTCATGTATACGTGTGTATAGTCACATGCTGCATAACATTGTTTCAGTCAACAGCGAACTGCATATTCAGCAGTGGTCCTATAAGATTATAATGGAGCTATAAAATTCTCATCATCTAGTGACATCATAATGTTGGATCCCTTGTGAGGTCACAGCGCAACAAATTACTCACGTTTGTGGTGATGCTCCTGTAAACATACCTACTGCACTGCCAGTCATATAAATGTGGCACATACAATCATGTGCAGTATGTAATGCTTGATAATAATAAACTCTATTAGTGGTTTATATATTTACTATACTATAATTATTATTTTTAGAGTGTACTTTTTAGAGAGGAAGTGGGACGAAGAGAGAGATAGAAACATCGATGAGAAAGAACATTGGCTGCCGCCTCCTGCATGCCCCCCAGTGGGGATCTGGCCCACAACCTGGGCATGTGTCCTGACTGGGAATCAAACTGGTGACCTCTTGGTGCATGGGTCGACACTTAACCACTGAGCCACACTGGCCAGACTAGAATGTACTCCTTTTATTTATTTAAAAAAATGTTTGCTATAAAAAAGTATGCCTGGTTACACTGGCAACAGCCTCACGCATCTTGTGTTTACCATGTCTCTTAATTGCGCATTTTCTTTTGTGCTTGATTTTATCTCCTGTTGTTTTGTACAGTAATGTGCTGAAGAGGCTTATAGCCTCAGAGCAATAGGCTATACCATATAAGTAGGTGGGCAGTAGGCTATTCCATCTAGGTTTGTATAAGTGTACTCTGTGATGTTTGCACAATGATTAAATTGCATAATGATGCATTTCTCACAACATATCCCCATGGTAAAGCAGTGCATGGCTATAACTGTGTTAATATACTGTGGCTGTAAAACAAAGAAATTAGCATTTACAAGATAACTGTTCCAAAGTGGCATAAAGACCATGTTTCTTAGCAACAAATAAAAATGTTTGCAAATTTTAGGGTACTAACATAAACTGACTTAATGGTTTTAAATTATGTGCTGATGTTTTAGACATTACTCTCTAGAATTTAAACTTTCTGCAGAAGTTGAAGGCACATGAAGCATACTCAGTGATGTTACCTTAATATCACGAACTTCATATGCTATCCTGTGGTCAGTGACTCTGTCCTGGGTGAAATTATATGTCCGAATTCTCTCTGACTGGGCTCTTGTTCCCACCTATGCCATGATAAAAAGAAAATCATATTTTAACTTTATAATTACCTTTATTACAATGAAAAAAGGTACTTGTAAATTACTTTCCTATTTTAACAGCTTAAATATTTTATCCTCTTTTTTCTTTTTATCCTCACCCAAGGACATTTTTCCATTTTTTTTGTTCAGATGGAGTGGGAGGGAGAGAGAGAGAGGGAAACATTGATGTGAAAGGGACACATTGAGTGGCTGCCACCGCACAACCCAACCAGGGCCGGGGACAAACTGCAACCGAGGTACATGCCCTTAGTGGGAACCGAACCGGGGTCTCACCGGACCGCAGGCCAACGCTCTAACCGCTGAGCCAAACCAGCCAGGGCTATTTTCTAAAGTTATATATACAAAGTGGCAAAGAGCAAGATTGGGCAGAACTTAATGTTTAGAACAACAGGTTTTAAAGCTTAGTTATGGGATAAGAATTTATGTTTCTTTGGTACTTCAAACTCCATGTATAAAAAACCAAATTATCTTTCCACCTCAATCAGTTCTCCCTCCTAGTTTCTATAAATGATACCACAATGTTCCCTTTAATCCAAGTAGAAAATTCTGACATCCTACAATGGAACAAACATTTCATGGGAGATTACTATCTGCCAGGCTTAGACACAGACACTGAAACCACCTTCAACTCATCCCATTCTCTAATTGCCTACATCCAATGGTTTCAAGGGTCTCGTAGTACATCTTGCTCTTTCTTTTTCTACTATCTATCATTCAAGGGCTCATTACTTCCTATAAAATCTTCTGATTAACCTTCCATTTCTCTGTTTACATTGTGCTACCCTGCTTAGTCTTCCTCAAGTAGTTTCTTGATCAATTTTCTTCTTTGGTTCCTTATCTAGTAAGCAGACACAACTCAACTCAGAATTCAAGGCACTTCATCATGTGGCCAATTTTCCCAATGTTACTTCTGAAAATAATGTGTACCTCTATAATGCTATTTATTATACCACATCATTATTATGTGTGCCTGTGAACTCTGCTAAAACATCATCTCCGGGGATGCCCTTCCCTAACACTCTACTACCATCTCTGCCAGTCCTGGTCCAAACAACTGAAATATGCTATCTGCCTCCTCTGAAATTCCGCACACTTGGGATCTTGACAACACACCGAGTTTGTTTATGCTATGGTTATCTGTATTCTTAGTCTGTGCATCTCCCTTACCTCCCCAGCATATGATACACATTATACCCTCTCTCTCACTTTTTAAGATAAAAAAGACATTTCTATAACTTATTTTCTAAAGCAAATAATATGAAACTAAACTCCCAAATATAGCGGAGAGTTTTTTTAAGTTAAAGATTCCAAAGCCCAAGTTCACATATACTAAATCAGGGATGGTGCGTTTTTAAAACGTTCCCTAGGCCATCTGTTCCGTAACCATCCAGGTTCGGAAACTACTATCTCAAAACACTGTATCAATGCCCAGGACCCAACCCAGATCAATTACATAGAATCTCTGAGAGACAGGCCTAGGCATCTACAAAGCTCTTTAGGTGATAAGTGGAACCAGGATTGAGAACCCAGCATATTGCCTTCCTATATGTGAGCTGAAGAAAAATTTCTAAGCATTAAAGATACCTACTAAGAAATTTCAAATAGATGGATAAGTTAACTGGGAAGCATGGAGGTCTTTTCTGGCTTCTCAAACCAGACGACTGAAGAAGATAGATAATTCGCTAAGGCCAATCCTGAATACTTATTTTTTAAATTACTATGTGAAATCACTAGTGCCAAAATGTCAAGTGGCAAGTAAATCTCAGTATCTTTTATTAAATCAAATGTGGCAGATTTCACAGTATGTATGTTATCACTTACTTGCCAAGAAGTAATAGTTTATAAATGAGCATTCCTATCAATGTATACACTGATGCTATGCCACAATCTGGGATTACCACCAATAGAAGATTAATATATTATTTATCCTATTGCTTTAACTACTTGAAAATTAGAATGTGGATAAGGGAAACTAGAAGGACAAAAGTGTGAAAAGACTCAGATATCTAGACAAAAAGAATAATATTTAGTTTTATGCAACTGATTATCCTACAAAGCTATAAATTCTTCCAAATTTACTGTTGCATACTGATCTAAGCTCAGTTTCTTCTTCTTCTTCTTTTTTAATTCCTACCTGAGGATATTTTTCCATTGATTTTCATGAGGCAGGGAGGAATGAAGAAACAGAGAGAGAATCATCATTATGAGAGAGACACACTGACTGGTTGTCTCCCACATGACCCCAACCAGGGCCAGGGATTGAACTACAACTGAGGTATGTGCCCTTGACTGGAATTGAACCCGAGACTCTGGTTCTTGGGGCGATGCTCTAACCGATGAGCCAAACCTGCCAGAGCAGCACAGTTATTTCTGGATTCCACTTTCTCTTCCAACCTCTCTCAAACACAAACTACTTTTTTTAGAATTTAAAATCATACAACACTTTGTTTACCTAAAATAATGACATTTATTCATTTTGCTTAGAATTTATCTATTTGAATAAATAATACTGTATATATACACAGTACAACATTTTAAAAGTACAAAAGAGCATATAATGAAAAATAAATCTTCTACTCCTTGTACCTAGACTCCATCTAGCAATCAGTTACCAGTTTTTTTGCTGTGCCATTTTATTTATTTATTTTTATTGTTGACAGTATTAGAGATGTCTCCCACTTTATCCTTTTTTTATTATTTTTTCTTTCCTTTATTGATTTTAGAGAGAAAGAAAGTGAAAGGGAGAGAGAGATAGAAACATTGATGAGAGAGAACATTGATTGGCTGCCTCCTGCATGCCCCCCACTGCGGATTTGGCCCACAACCTGGGCATGTGCCCTGACCGGAAATCTAACTGGCAACCTCTCGGTGCAGTGGTCGATGCTCAACCACTGAGCCACACCAGCCAGACTCCCATTTTCTCCTTTTGGTGCCACTTATTTTTGATCTCACAAAGAGTTATAATAAAGCATAGGTTTTTATGAAAAAAATCTAAAAATCTCTTAATTTCCAGAGAATTGCTTTGTCTTTTACACTAATCTCCTCTCAAGACAGTTATGATATAAACACTAGAGAGAAACAACTGGGAAATAATTTTTAGTTTGCGCACATATCATCTACTCATTTGTAAGCAGGCATGTCCAATTTTGGTCATAATGTTTCCCTATGCTCTAAGATATTTCCATTCAATCAAAAACAAATACATTTTCAGCCCTGGCTGGTTTGGATCAGCAGTTAGAGCGTCGGCACGCGGACCAGAGAGTCCCGGGTTCGGTTCCTGATAAGGGCATGTACCTCAGTTACAGTTTGCCCCCGGCCCCTATTGGGGTCGTGTGGGTGGCAATCAGTTGATATGTCTTTCTCACATGGATGTTTCTCCCTCTCTTCCTCCCCCTTTCCTTCCCATGCTATCTGAAGATAAATGCAAAAAGTCCTCGGGTTAAGGATAAAAAAATATAAATAAATAAATAAATAAATAAATAAATAAATAAATAACAAATACATTTCCTATGTAAAATGACTGTACAGAGGCATTACATTATTAAACCAAATATGTCTTACCTGCAGTTTTCTAGCACTTTGTTGTTGACACTTGTCTTTCTCAATAATCTGCTGGTAGAGTCTAGCTCTCAACACACGCAAAGCTATTTCTTTATTTTTTATTTGTGATCGTTCTTGTTGGCATTCTACGACAAGCCCTGAAAAATAATAGGGATCATAGATAAACTGTAGCCTCCACAAGTCAAATTAAGACAGATGTGAGGTGTCACTTTTAGTTCAATAAAACTGGAAGGAAAACGAGACAGACTTGAGAAATATTTCAAAAGGGGAAAAGGTTAATCAGGAAAAGATCACAAAGGATTAAATACATTTTAGATTTAGTATACTTCAAAAATTATGCCTGGGTTATGATGATAATAGTGGTACATGGCTAGATTCTGACACCTAAATGGATTGTATCAGATGAGAAGACTGAGGAGTAGTAGCACTCGCAGATGGCTACACATACTTCCATTCCCAGAGCTCTGCCTCTCCATCCAGCTCATCCAGAGAATTTTGTAGCCAAGAGCAAAATACTGTTACTCATATGTAGTGCTGCTCCATTCTCTGTCCTACTCCAGAAGTCAGTTTTTCCCTCTAAATCACAAGTATACACAGAGCTGATGTTTTAAAAATACTTTATATATAGAAACCAATGAAAAGGAACTACTCAACTCTTTCAAAGGAAGAATTTATAGTAAAAGTTTCTCAGTTGTCTTGGTTCTAAATCCAGTTAATCAACACATTTAATTCAGTGGAAATGCAGACACTGCAAGAAGCAGAAGAAATCTTCAGGGAAATTAAAATTAATATATTTGGGTAGTAAAATAAGAAAAATGTATCAACAAGATAACAAAAGGATGCTATGAAAAAGAGAAAATTCTGAGAATTAGTGCTGGACAAAACTAAAACACAAAGTGATACATGGTGAGAAAAAATTTAAACATTAAATACAAGAGATCTAACATCTGACTAATAAACATTTGAGGAACAACAACAAAATGGTGAATATAGATTTTTAAGATGGAAGCAGAGTAGGTGGAAGCTATAATCACCTCCTCCCAAGACTAAACTGGAAATTCAACTAACTAAAGAAAAATCATCCTGAATAAACAACTGAAGACTAGCTGAAGAGAAGTCTTATAATCGAGGGTTTACAGGAGAAGCCACATTGACACTGACAGGAAGGGCAGAGATGTGGGAAGGGCTGGTCTAGCTCCCATGGGTGGAGGCTGACGGGGGGCTTCCTCTGAGAAGTGTGGGCCTCAACCCCAGGCCAGGCTCCCAAGCCCAGAGTACCAGAGCCGAAAAGAGGTACCCACATAACATCTGGCTGTGAAAAACACGGGTTTTGTTTCGCCAAGGAGAGATGAAATCTGCTGGAGACATAAGCACCCTCTTAAAGGGCCAATGCAAAACGTTTTGTTCACAGCTATTCACCCTGGGCTCCAGTGGAGGGAGGGTGGAGCAGACTAGAGTCGCCTGAAGAGAGTATGGGTTTGTGGTTCTGGGGATGGGGGCTTGGAGGACAACCACCAGGATTCCTGTGTTAAATCATTTTCCAGTACCATAATTTCCATCTTTCTTAGGTGGAGCACTTCCCTCTGAGAGGCATCAGCCTGGGGGAAAGCAATTGCCTCACTCTGGAATACCTCTTGCCCTACCCTGAGGTGCTTAGGCCCTGCTGAGGAGTTAGCTGCTTTGTCCGGGTATAGAAGTCTAGGTGGACCCAGAGGGTGTCAGTGATTGAGTGGTCTGGCTTTGGGTTGGTGGCCCATTCCCCTACTTTCCCACGAACCTAACTGATGCTTCCCCCTCACAAACTATCTGATAGAACCACCCTCCCAGCTTCTAGTAGACTCAACTTCTGGGTTCTGGAGATTCCACCTGCCTGATGCCTAGGGGCTCTGCACCGCTGAGGTCAGGGCAAAATCCAGGAAAGACTGAATCCTGTAGCTCTGGGGTGGAGACCACACGAACTACCTTCCCTGAAGCATGAACAGCATCTCCCCAATATGGGAGATCTTCTAGCGCCATCCTCCCAACTCCACCAGAGACTCTTTCAGTGACAGAGCCTAATAGGTAGCCAGGCAGGTGGAGGCAGGTAAAGGCTGATCTTGGGGGGCCTTGGAACTTTGGCAGACCTGCCCCGAGACCCAGTGCTGGTAAAAGCTGGACTTGGAGCACACTTCAGTCTTGCCAGTATGCATCCAAGCCCAGCAGATGCAGCCACAAACTGTGGATTGCTTGTAGCTCCAAGCAGGCTCCCAAGAGACAGGCACAGACAGCGTAAGACATTGGCTTGCACCAGAGTCCCTCCCAATAGGCCCAGAACCAACACACCAAGTAGCCAGCTCAGACAGTATCAGTGCAGAATCCAATAAACTTCACTACAGCATAATCAAAGGGAGATTACAGCAGGCACTAAACCCAGATGTGTTAAATTCTGCTTTTTTGTTTTGTTTTGTTTTTCTTTTTTCGACAAGCACCTGGACAGCAGCTCACATGCTGTGGTCAGGGCTAAGCCTCACAGTCAGTTAGCGTAAGGTTCGATCCCATGCATAAATAAGCCAATGGCAACTAAGATTCAATTACAAAAGAAGGACCCACATAACCCATACAAGGAACATTCCTAGAGCACTCAGTTCAGGAGACCAAGAAGACGGAGTCACTGGGACTCATAGGATACCTATTACATAAAGCCACACCCTGAACAATGGGAGTCATAGCAGATCTAATACATAGAAACAAATACAAATAAGTAGCCAAACTGGGAAGACAAGGAAACAGGCCCCACCTGAAAGAACAAAAGAACTCTCAAGGAAAAGAGTTAATTGAAACGGAGGCAAGCAATTTATAAGATAAAAAGTTGAAGTAGCCTGGCCAATGTGGCTCAGTGGACTAAGCATTGTCCCATGGGGTAAGAGGTCCCAGTTTGATTCCCAGTCAGGGCATATGCCCAGGTTGTAGGCTCGATCCCCAGTAGGGGGCATGCAGGAGGCAGCTGATTGATATATCTCTTTCACATTGATGTCTCTATCTCTCCCTCCCTTCCTCTCTCTAAAATATCAAAAACATATTTTTTTTAAAAAGAGTTCAAAGTAATAGTTATAAGGATGCTCAAGAAACTTAGAACTATAATATAATGAAAAAGAACAAAGAAATCATAAAAAAAAACAACAGTCAGAAGTAAAGAATACCATACCTGACATTAAGAATACACTGGAGCCCTGGCCGGTTTGGCTCAGCGGTTGGAGCGTCGGCCTGCAGTACAGAGAGACCCGGGTTCGGTTCCCGCTAAGGGCATGTACCTCGGTCGCAGTTTGTCCCCGGCCCTGGTTGGTCATGCGGGTGGCAGCCACTCGATGTGTCCCTTCACGTCGATGTTTCGCTCTCTCTTTCTCTCTCTCTCTCCCTCCCGCTCTACCTGAACAAAAAATGGAAAAAATGTCCTCGGGTGAGGATAAAAAAAAAAAAAAAAAGAATACACTGGAAAGAATAAAAAGTATGTTGGATGAAGAAGAGGATCAAATAAGCAATATGGAAGACAAAGTAGAAAAAAATAATGCAATCAGAGCAGCTAAAAGAAAAAAAGAATAGCCCTGGCCAGTTTGGCTCAGCGGTTAGAGCGTTGGCCTGTGGTTCAGAGAGACCTGGGTTCGGTTCCCGCTAAGGGCACGTACCTTGGTTGCAGTTTGCCCCGGCCCTGGTTGGGTTGTGCGGGTGGCAGCCACTCGATGTGTCCCTTTCACGTTGATGTTTCTCTTCCTCTCTCTTCCTCTCTCTCTCTCTCCCTCTATCTGAGCAAAAAATGGAAAAATGTCCTCGGGTAAGGATAAAAAAAAAAAAAAAAGAAAGAAAGCAAGACCCATATATATGTTATCTACAAAAAACCCACCTCAGAATGAAAGATACACAAACACTAAAAATGGAAAAAGATATTTCATGTAAATTGAAAAAAACAAAAAAAGCTGTGATAGCAAAAATCTGACTAATAGTCTTTAAAGACTATAATAAGAGACAAAAAAAGATACTACATAATGATAAAAGGAGCAATTCAATAAGAATATATAACTCTTGGAAACATTTATGCACCCAACATAGGAGCAACTAATTATGTAAAGAAAATCTTGATGGACATACAGAGAGAGTCAGACAGCAATAGTCATAGTAGGGGATTTTAATACCCCATTGACATAAATGGATAGATCTTCCAGACAGAAAATCAACAAGGAAACGATGGCCTTAAATGACACACTAGATCAGATGGATTTAATTGATATCTTCAGAGTATTTAACCCCAAAGCAGTAGAATATACATTCTTTTCAAGTGCACATGGAACATTTTCAAGGATCACGTGTTAGGACACAAAATAAGTCTCAATAAATTTAAGAAGACTGAAATCATATTAAGCATCTTCTCTGACCATGATGGTATGAAACTAGAAATCAATCACAAGAGGAAAAAAAAAAACCCACAAAGTCATAGAGGCTAGATAACATGTTACTAAACAATGAATGGGTTAACACTAGGATAAAGGAAGAAATCACAAGACACTTTTATACAAATAAAAATGAGAACACAATAACCCAAAATCTATGGGCACAGCAAACACAGTCCTTAAAGAGAAGTTCATAGAACTACAGGCCCATGTCAAGAAGAAAAATCACAAATAAACAATCTAACCCTACAACAAAAAAAACTAGAAAAAGAACAAAGCCCAAAGTGAGTAGAAGAAAGCAAATAAGAAAGATCAGAGCAGAAATAAACAAAAGAGTCTAAAAATACAATACAATAGGTTAATGAAACCAAGAGATGGTTCTTTGAAAAGATGAACAAGATGGACAAACCTTTAACCAGACTCATCAAGAAAAAAAGAGGACCCAAATAAATCAGAAATTAAAGAAGAAAAATAACAACAGACACTACAGAAATACAAAGGATTGTAAGAAAATATTATAAACAACTATATGCCAACAAATTGGAGAATGTGGAAGAAATGGATAAATTTCTAGAAACATACAATCTTCCAAAACTGAATCAGGAACAATCAGAGAATCTGAATAGACAGATTACAACTACTGAAATGGAAGCAATAATCAAAACATCCCCAACACGTAAAAGTCCTGGATTGGATGGTTTCACAGGTAAATTTTAGCAAACATTCAAAGAAGAACACCTATCCTTCTCAAACTATTCCAAAAAATTCAAGAGGAGGGAAGACTCCCAAGCTCATTTTATGAGGCTTATTAGTAATATCCTAATTCTAAAACCAGATAAAGACACTAAAAAGAAAGAAAATTACAGGCCAATATCCCTGATGAACACAGATGCTAAAATCCTCAACAAAATACTAGCAAACCAGAGCAGGCCGACGCTCTAACCATTGAGCAAAACCAGCAAGGGCTACCATTGGATTTTTCTTTTTTTTTTTAAACCGTTGGATTTTAAAACAATATACATATAACATAAAAATGAATTTAAAAAGAAAAAAAATTCTAAAGTTTCTAAAAAGTTTAGAAATCAGAAAAATGATAGAAATATTTTCAATCACATTAAGGACTACAAAACTTGTAGTATACCAAAATTACCAGTATTCAAAATAATCACGTTCATGCAGCAGAGCCTAATGGATCTAGTAGTCGATCTACATGTGACTTCTGATCCATTGCAGTGGCATGTCTAATACTACTTTCAAATTTGTGTTTAGGCTGGGGCACCTCTGGTTGCTTACTCCTGTGCAGCATACCTGGACAACTTCTCTGAATATATCCACTCACTGTCTGTCTCCTTTGAGAGAGGTATCTTTTTCAAATAGAAGGGAAATATAAACCCATTAGGGACCTCAGACTTATGACCCAATGTCACCTTTAAAGAGTTTGTGTAAACACTCGGCTGGTGTGGCTCAGTGGATTGAGCATCGACCCATGGACTGTGAGTTCCCAGTTGGATTCCAGGTCAGGGCAAAAGCCTGGGTTGTGGGCTCGATCTCCAGTAGGGGGGTTGCAGGAGGCAGCCGATTGATGTTTCTCTCTCAAATTGATGTTTCTATCTATCTCTTCCTTTCTGAAAAATCAATAAAAACATATTTAAAAAAAAGAGTCTGTGTAAGGAACCAAAAACTAACATAGGACTATTTTCTTCTAAACCCTAAATAGTTTCAGAAGACATGAAAAAAGGTTAAAAGTACAAAAGTAAAGGGACTTGCTTACCTGTGGGGACATGGACAAGTCTGACAGCACTATCAGTTGTATTAACATGCTGGCCTCCAGCTCCTTTGGCTCGAAATGTATCTATTCGTAAATCCTTGGGGTCCACTTTAACATCTACCTAGAACGAAAAGTATAACATAAGTAACTTCTATACCCAATGAATACTTTAATACTAAATCTATTCCAAAAATTTTCAAATAAACTGTACTGCTTTGTGTCATAAACTACAGCAATTAGACTAATAGGTGAAATAAGCTCCCTATTTCAATGCATACTGTTTTTTGTTTTGTTTTTTATCTTCACCCGAGGACATTTTTCCTTTTTTTGTTCAGGTAGAGTGGGAGGGAGAGAGAGAGAGAAACATTGACATGAAAGGGACACATTGAGTGGCTGCCACCCGCACAACCAACCAGGGCTGGGGACAGACTGCAACCGAGGTACGTGCCCTTAGCGGGAACCGAACCCGGGTCTCTCTGGACCACAGGCCAATGCTCTAACCGCTGAGCCAAACCGACTAGGGCATGGATACTGTTTTTTTTTTCATCCTCACCTGAGGACATTTTTCCATTTTTTTGTTCAGGTAGAGTGGGAGGGAGAGAGAGGAACAGAGAGAGAGAGAGAAACATCGACGTGAAAGGGACACATCGAGTGGCTGCCACCCGCACGACCAACCAGGGCCGGGGACAAACTGCAACCGAAGTACGTGCCCTTAGCGGAAACCGAACCCGGGTCTCTCTGAACCGCAGGCCGACGCTCTAACTGCTGAGCCAAACCGGCCAGGGCATGGATACTGTTTTTTAACACTGACTCAGGATGCTATGAGATCACTAAGCTATGCAGTCTTTCAAATTTCATCATCCATCATCCCATTCTTCTACACTAGATAGAAAGCATATTGAATATATGTATATATGCATTTACTGAATATATGTATATATGCATTTATATATAAAGTTAACCAGCCCTGGCCAATTTGACTCAGCGGTTAGAGCGTCGGCCTGTGGAACAGAGTCCCGGGTTCGGTTCCTGCTAAGGGCACATACCTCGGCTGCAGTTCGTCCCCGGCCCTGGTTGGGGTCATGTGGATGGCAGCCACTCGATGTGTCTCTCTCACATCGATGTTTCTCTCTGTCTCTTCCTCCCTCTCTCCCTCCCGCTCTATCTGAAGATAAATGCAAAAATGTCCTCGGGTGATAATAAAAATAACTACAAATAAAAATAAAATAAAGTTAACCTTCATTATTCCCTGACTCTGTATTTGCAAATTCACCTACTCACTAAAATTTATTACCCAAAATCAATTATTAACAGCACTTTCACAGTCATTGGAAGACATGCAGAGAGCAGCAAAAAATTCAAGTTCCTATAAATGTGAATATTCTACCCTGGCCAGTTTGGCTCAGTGGTTAAAGCACTGGCCTAAGGGTCTCAGAGTTATTTTCTGGTCAAGGGCATGTGCCTGGGTTGCAGTTTTGATCTTGGCCCCAGGCAGAGTCGTGTGGGAAGCAACCAATCAATGTGCCTTTTCTTTTTCTTTTTTGATATTTTGTTCAGATAGAGTGGGAGGGAGAGAGAGAGAGAGAAACATCGACGTGAAAGGGACACATTGAGTAGTTGCCACCCACACAACCCAACCAGGGCCAGGGACAAACTGCAACTGAGGTTCGTGCCCTTAGCAGGAACCGAACCCGGGTCTCTCGGGACCGCAGGCTGACGCTCTAACTGCTGAGCCAAACCGGTCAGAGCTCAATGTGTCTTTTTCACATTGATGTGTTTCTCTTTCTCTCTCTCTCTCTCTCTCTCTCTCTCTCTCTCTCTCCCTCCTTCCCTCCCACCCTCCCTCCCACTCTATCCATTTTTTTTTTAAATCCTCACTGGAGGACATTTTTCCATTTTTGTTCAGACAGAGTGGGAGGGAGGGAAAGAGAGAGAGAGAGAGAGAGAAACATCGACATGAGAGGGACACATTGAGTGGCTGCCTCCTGCACGACCCCAACCAGGGCTGGGGACAAATTGCAACTCAGGTATGTGCCCTTGACTGAAATCGAACCCATGACTCATTGGTCCGCAGACCATAAGTGCTGAGCAAAACCAGCCAGGGCTAAATTTTTTTCTACATTGATTTTTTTAGAGAGAAAGGAAGGGAGAGGAAGAGAGAATGGAGAACATCGATTGGCTGCCTCCTGCATGCCCCCCACTGGGGATCAGGCTCATAACCTGGACATGTGTCCTGAGAGGGAATTGAACCAGCGACCTCTCGGTGCATGGGTTGACACTCAACCACTGAGCCACACCGGCCGGAAAATCATTCTTTTTTATTTTTTTATTTTTTTTCTTTATTGATTTTTTTAGAGAGGAAGGGAGAGGGAGAGATAGAACATCAATGAGAGAGAACATGAATTCCTTCCACTCTATCTAAAAATCAATGGAAAAATATCCTCAAGTGAGGATTAATAAAAATAAACAAACAAACAAATAAATAAACGTGCATATTCCCATCTAAGGACGAACAAGGTGGCACTTAACTTCCTTTTTTTCTTTTTTTAAATCCTCATACAAGGATATGTTTAGAGCAAGGAAGGCAGAGAGAGACAGAGAGACAGAGAAACATTGATGTGAGAGAGAAACATTGCTTGGTTGTCTCTAGTATGAGCCCAGACTAGGGATCAAACGGGCAACCTAAGTATGTGCCCTGACCAAGAAATGAACCTGTGCCCTGGCCGGTTTGGCTGAACGGCTGGAGCGTCGGCCTGCGGTACAGAGACACCTGGGTTCGGTTCCCGCTAAGGGCATGTACCTTGGTTGCAGTTTGTCCCCGGCCCTGGTTGGTCGTGCAGGTGTGGCAACCACTTGATGTGTCCCTTTCACGTCGATGTTTCTGTCTCTCTCCCTCTTCCTCTCTCTCCCTCCCACTCTATCTGAACAAAAAATGGAAAAATGTCCTCGGGTGAGGATAAAAAAATAAATAAACCTGCAACTTTTATTTGATGTATGGGACAACGCTCCAACCAACTGAGCCAGTAGGCCAGGGCTCTGCGTTCCTGTTTCAGTATGACCAGAGGATGAAGACAGGAAGAGGCCAGGGTAGTGTGGTGTAAGAAGTTCCAGCTCGGGTCAGTTGAACAGGGTTGAATCCCAACTCTCGCACTTATTAGTGAGATGGCCTCAGGCAGGTCACTTAACACTTCTGAACCTCATTTTCTCTTTTACAAAATTACACAAATAGAATCTACCAGGATGGGTTGTTTTGGGGATTTAAGATTATAATCTATGTGAGATTATATATATTTCCCCTAGGAGAAATGGTTCAGTATTTGCTAAATCCAGTGTTCACCGCAACTTGATAGAACATTACTATGAATGAGAATCAACTATTTGTGTGTGCACATACACTTATTACTGGGCTGAAAGGAGGAACCCCAAAAGATACATTCATATTCTAACCACTGGAACCATATTTGGAAAAAGGGTCTTTGCAGGCGTAATTAAGATAAGACCATCCTGGATTATTTGGATAGTCACTAAATTCAATGACATATCCTTAGAAGAGACACCCAAAGGAAAGAATTCAGAAACAGAGATTGGAGTAGTACAGCTTCAAGCCAAGGAACACCTGGAGACACAGCTAGGAGATGCAAGGAAGGATTCTCCCCTAATAACTTTGGAGGGGCAAGGCCCTACCAATAGCTTGAGTTTGGATTTCTGTATATATATGTCCATATATACAAATAGTTACAATATATGTTGTTTTTCAGGGGAGATTCAACATTCTGTTCTAGAGACTTCTGGTCAAGATGGCGGTGTAGGTAAACGCGGTATCGCGTCCTCCCACAACCACATCAAAGTTACAACTAAACTACAGAACAACCATCATTCAAAACCGCTTGAAATCAAGCTGAATGGAAGTCCTACAACTACGGAATTAAAGCAGCAGCCACATCCAGACTGGTAGGAGGGGCGGAGGTGGACGGGCTGGTCCCACACCCATGTGTGGCGCATAAAAATCAGGAGGACACCTAGGCTGGGAAGGTCCTCTTTGAGGACTGGGAGGTCCCTGTCCCACACCAGGCACCCCACTCAGGGTTCCAGTGCCAGGAAGAGAATCCCCATAACTTCTGGCTGGAAAAACCAGCGGGAACTGAGGCTCAGGGAGACTGAGGCGGCCGGAGCCCCAGGCAGCACCTTAAAGGGCCCGCGCATGGACTTATCGGACTCTCTCCCTCTGAGCTTGGAGGGGAGGCAGCTCGAGGGGCGCCAGAGACATACAGGGAAGAACTGAGCTGTTTGGCACTGGAGCGAGGGCTGGAGAGGGGGCTTTCTCCTGGACAGACGTGCTGTCAGAGGCCTTCGTTCCTTTCGTGAGCCCTTCCCTGGGGCGGCAGACAGTCTCCATATCTGGGACTCCAGCAACCTGGCTCTCACTGGTAGCTCCGCCCTGGTGATTCCCTGAGGCCCTCCTGTCCCACCCAACTTTCAGGCCCACCCAAGCTGCTGCCAGTTGCTTAACCATAGGATTGGCCTGTCTTGGATCCTGCTTCAGGTTTTCCTAAATTCTTTCAAACAAGCAGCATCTGGTCTCAGCTAGCTCCATACCTCTCGTTAAGTAATACACAGAAACAAACACAGGGAGGCAGCCAAAATGAGGAGACAAGGAAACAGGTCCCAAATGAAAGAACAGAACAAAACCCCAAGAAAAGAACTAAGTGAAATGGAGATAAGCAACCTAACAGATGCTGAGTTCAAAATACTGCTTATAAGGATGCTCAGTGAACTTAGTGAGGGCTCAAGAGCATTAAAAAGGACCAGTCAGAAATGATGGATGCACAGTCAGAAATGAAGGAGACATTAACTGAAATAAAAAATAATTTACACAGATTCAATAGTAGAGTACATAAATCCAAGAAGCAAACCATTGATTTGGAATATAAGGAAGCAAAAAATGCCCAATCAGAACAGCAAAAAGAAAAAAGAATCCAAAAAAAATGAGGATAGTGTAAGGAGCCTCTGGGACAACTTCAAGCGTGCCAACATTCGCATCTTGGGGGTGCCAGAAGGAGAAGAGCGAGAACAAGAAATGGAAAACCTGTTTGAAACAATAATGGCAGAAAACTTCCCTAA